CTCCATGTTTGATGGATCACAAACCTACTTGGCGTAAGTACTTTTTTTTTTTTGCTGAGCTTAAGTGCGGTTTTAGTAAGGATTCTACGCAATGTTTGATAAATGAGACCCCTGAGCATTATCTCTCACTTTCTCCACATCTTGCTGCTGACAGTGTACATGCAAGCGACGTAATGGGGAGGAGCTGGGAGAGCACCGGGGAGAGCACCTGTGATGCACTCGACATTGTGCGCAAGAGCGCAGTATCGAGTGGAAAGTGGCAACCCTTCTATCTTTCAGAGAGTCTGGTATACTTCTGGTTATTTTATTTGGAGAAACATACTTTTAAACTTTTGGCTCAAGTAGCGCTCATTATTCAGCACCTGCTTCAAGTGGGTCAGCAGAGTACGGATTCATCCAGAACAATATTTAAAGCCACAAGTCTGTCCGAGGCAAAAGTCCAGAACCTCATGACTTCTTCAGCAATCTCCTTAGAGACATTTGATTATGCACAAGCTGCGGGTGATCAGTTCAGGTTTACACGGAGCAGAAGGAATGTGCGTTGGGGCCACAGCAGGTGAAATGCTCCTAATTTATGTTAATTAATATGGGGTACTCTGATCCGCTTGTTTGGACTTAATATAGATTAAAAATGAATGGAAATTGAATGATTATTATTTTTAAAAACGAAAGTGACAGGGATAAATGGGTCATGTGACCTCTGGCTAGGGATGGGTACCTTTGACATTTGAATCGATACGGTACTAATTCCCGGTACCTACGAATCGATACGGGTACTTAACGGTACCAATTTTCGATACTTTTGAGTGTTTAATATTTTAATTCTCTTTTATAATTAAACATATATTTTTTTCTCAATTTATAACCATATTTGATAAATATCACGATAAATAACATACAACTGTTTGTATTTTAACATCGTCCTTGTAGTTTTATAAGCTGATAATTAAACTGAAGCAAACACCTTACTGTGAACTAAATTTACTGTGTATCTTCATTCCTTTTGCCGTCTTTTTTCATTCAATTTTTCCTACTGGGAAGTTAGAATTTCCGAGGAGAAAGCGAACGCACCATTAGATGATAACATTGGTGGCATAGGAAGCTAACATATCAAGCTAACGTTATCTTAAACAGTTTATTTAACTGCTGGAGCAGATTTAAACAATGATTTCTCACACTTAGATCGCTGTCGCTGGTTTCATCTTCACCCAATCACCCGCCGCATTTAGTAAAGTGAAGCCAAACTTTAGAGCGCGTTCATGTTCTTCTAGCCGGAATTTCGGAGTTCTGAGGAGAAAGCGAACGCACCATTAGCGGAACGGAAGCTAACAAATCAAGCTAACGTTATCTTAAACATTTTATTTACCTACCGGAGCAGATTAAGATGAGGCTGTCTCACTTATATCGTTGTCGCTTGTTTCATCACCCAGTTACCCATCACATTTAGTGAAGTGGACCCAAGCTTTAGCGAGCGTTCTTTCTACCCATGCTGCTCTGTTTACAACTCACTCGCAGCGACCGATGACATAACACTCTTGCACATGCGCAGCTGACTAGGAAAGTTCTCGTTGTGAAGGACGGGTACCGAAACGAGGCACCGTTTCAAATGAAGTGAATCGGTGCTCGGTCGATACTATGGAATTTTGTCGGTACCTTAAAAAGTACCGAATTCGGTACCCATCCCTACCTCTGGCTGTGAGCAATTGCTGCCTCTTCAGAGTGCGTCTAAATGCTGCAGCAATTTATTTCATTTCCTATTCAAACTCAAAAGAAAGAAACCCAGCAGCCTTTGTTCAGAAAACAAAACAAAAAAACATTTTGCTTAAATAAAATACCACAATATTGGGCACCACAGGGAAACAACGATGTGGCTTCTTTTTAACAATTTCACTGTGCTTAATATGAGCCGTTTATGTCACTCTTCTATTAAAAAAAACAGTGTTTGGACTTCTACTGTATTTTTAAATCAGTTCATGTATCATGACGTTGCTCAGTCACATGCACAAATAAATCGCCTATCGACATTTATTGAAATGACAATTGGTGGTGGGAAAAATGGCTAAAATTGTCCTACCCTACCCACCACCTAGTTATTCCAAGTCCAAGGAGGGTTTTATTGTCAAAGATGGAGAGGAATTGGGGAACTACTGCCACCTAAAGGCTTGGTATGCCTATGAATGATCTGTTTTCAATAGTACGCCTGTTGTTCTAACTGTAGGCTGCACAAAAACAGGCATAGTTGCCCACTCTGCATTGACTTTGAAGAGTGAGGAGACACATTCAATATGGCAACGACGCTGTTACACTCTCCAGTGCCCAATGGGACATCTATGTATTTATGTCAATGAGGTCTACATGATACTGCTGTAAAACAACACGCAGTCAGTACTTCTGCCGGCGGACTGCCGGTCAAAAACTGTTGATGTTTCTCAATGTCAAGGCGCCTGGTCTTGCGAGGCGATGTCTTGTGAGGCCAGGCGTGTTACTTACGAGGACACTTGTCCTTCCTTGGTCAAAGAAAACAGTTAAATGGAACAGACTTGCATCACGTGACCGCGGCTTTCACGGCGGTCACGTAACGTCACGTGACGTGGGGGATAACACTATATTTTATATGTATAAGTTTCAATATAAATATATAACAAGCCTTTTACTTTTTAAAATTTGTATAAATTTGTTAAATATATAAGTGAGATACAACCCGCTAGCCGCCGAAGCTGAAACTACTAAGCAACTAACCAACAATAAATAACTTCTTTGGATCTAAAAAAAAAACCATTTTAAATTACTTGACTTACTTTTAAACTTGAAATTTGCCCCTGAAGTAGCTGCCAGCTTCTGATCCAGCATCCTTTTGAAAATACCACAGTGCATTCTGGGAAATTTTTGACCAAGGCTAGGCTACAAGACACCCCCAATGTATCCTTACTCGGCTAGCTAAACGGCTAACAAACGTAAAACACACTCCTTGGTAGAACATGAACATTGGAACACGTCTTTGTGGTTCCTGATGATGTATCTCCTAGGCAACCAGCCAACTGCCATCTATCAAATAAGTACAGACTGATATTTTAGTAAAGCTGGAAAACCGTAAGAGACATAAACTCCACTGACTTTTGCCGGCGGCTATGGATGTAACTGAACTACGGAAGCTCTGCATGGACAAGACGTCAAAAACTGTAAAAACTAAAGACTTTCAATAAATGGGACACACTTCTATCCTGCAAATAAACTTTCACAGTTGATGCTAATACCTATGCTCCTTCAAGAGATTTGCTCCTGGCTCCAAAGCATTGCACCTTCAAATACAAAATGCTGTCTTTACTTGCTAGTGTTTATGTAGACTAATACACTTGTTGTTATATGTAAAGCGCTTTGGAGTCCTTACTCTGAGAATCGCTATACAAGTGTGGGTCATTTATCATTTATCATTTTAGATAAATATGTAGATACATAAACTTGTTTTTATTTGGTACAAGTTACATAGATTTTTTTTGCTTTCGTTAGTTGAAAAATATGAGAAAAGACCCTTGAGAAAATAATCGTGAATTAAATCGCAATTGTAATATTGAAGAAAAAATATGCAATTATATTACTTTCCAGAATTGTTCAGCCTTCATTTTTAATGTAAAAAAATCACATTTCTTTAAATAATCAAAATAAAAATGCAATACATTGTGTAATAAAGTACTTATTACAAAGTTACAACATATACTACATTCAGTAAAAACTGCATCAATAAAATACAGTTCTCATTCACTAAACAATTGTTATTTGACCACCTTTTAACTCAATCGTGCAGCACCATTTAACTCTAAATATAAAGTATTAGATCTGATTAAATCAGCAGGATGATTGTCAGCTGTTGCTCATGAAGACGATCTCATGACTAATCCTATAATACTTGCAGGAGCTAATGACAGCAAGTCAGTCAAATTTAAATGAAGTACAAAACCAAACCTCCTGAAGGAATGAGCTTTAGGCTTTTGAGTGAAGGCGTGAAATAAGATTCAGTTTCAGTAGTGGCTGCTGAAGCTGTGAAACATAATAGCTTCTCTTTGAACACAAACCTCTTTAGCTTTTCAGCATTCTCAGCTAGACTGATTTGCACCATTATAATTTATTCAAATCCAAGTTTTACGACTTGTTCTTGTAAGAACCATGTGGCCGGTGTAAAGGAGGTTAACCATCCAAATGCTGAGGATAACCTCACATTCACACAGAATCACTCATAAAGTCCCCTTTTGGGTTATGAATCACAGCTTTAATTAACATAGTTATTTTCTGGCTCAGTCTGAGGAATGTTAGTTTAGTGTGTAGCGTCTCTAAGAATAAACCCATCCAGCAAGGCATTTTGATGAAGCAGTTTACTCATTTCCTGCCTAAAATGACACATTTGCTTATGCTCCTTTGTTTTTTTGTTTTTTTACCAAAGGTAATCCATATGTCTGCTTGCATACCCAACAGATTTCATACATTTCATAGTAAAAGTTACACTTTCAGGATAAAGCGTGGCTCCTGGGTGGGTCTGAGCTTTAGTTTCCTGTATTTTTTTGTCTGTTTGGGGAGAGGTTAGCCAACCCTATGAAGGACCTGAACCACATCTCCCACCTCCGCTCTGTCCATTGTGAATAGAGATTTCTGTACTCGGCTTGCTGAAGTAACAGAAGTGAGTTACCTCAAACAATCACAAATGAAAAGAGCAGCCCTGTTTTAAAGTATGCAACCTCCTCCACCTCTCAGAGCAGCACTTTGTCCAGCAAACTGCAGGTGAATCTGACATAAACGCCAACTGTTCCTTCACATAAAGGTCACCAAGACCCTTAAAATCTCAATGGATGTGTGTGTTTTTAATATCCATCGGTGTACTTTTTTTAATCATCAAATGTGAGACCTCAGGTGGGACTATGCGATCTTCTGGCCACTGATAACACAAACTAGGGCTGCAACTAACGATTATTTTCATAATCGATTAATCTGTCGATTATTTTTTCGATTAATCGATTAATCGGTTTGTTATTGTTTAGCTATTTAACCTATACAAGTGATGAATACATTTCAGTTAAGAAAAAGAAAAACATAAGAGAATTGTGCAGTTGACTGCAATCTATTTTATTGCACATGAACACAGTCAGCAGTGTAAAATGAGCTAAACAGTGCAAAATATCAGTCCAGAATAATTTTTTGGCATCAAAATATAAGAGGTAAATTCCATAAAAAATAATGTAGAATCTGGAATAGAGTTTGTAAGTGGTATGCATTGCTGAGGGTGAGTGTCTTGTTCCCCATGTAGTTGTCCATCGTTGCTTGTTTTTTTCTGCATAAGAAACACAAATAAACTGAATTAAGTACACATATAAAATAAAGCAGCACACACACTACAACACTAAATCAATATTACATTATTTGAATTAATTAACAATATACAGTGATCATTTATTTTGACAAAAATGTGTTGTGAGGCGTTTTACGGCGTTAGATAGTAAAACAGCCTTTTAATAGTTAAAAAAAGGGCTTTCTGAATTTCTCCTGTATTTAAAAATTGAAAGCGTACAACTATGCCGCGTTATATTCACCTGGACACAGCTCGTCTGTATATTTTTCTCTGCGGAGTTGTCCTTTTTTGAATGAGGAACATAGTTATGGGTTTGTGCCGTTTTTCTCTTAACGAGAACATTCTTATAAACAGACGTGCTAAATTTGGCAAGTGCATGATTCACAACACGGAGATTCACGATTGCATCTAGTCAATCAGAAGTAGAACACCGTAAACTGACGCGGCAAAAAAAAAACATGTTTAACATCCACTATAACGAACTTAGCTAACACTAAGTCCCAAATGTGATCTGCGTTAGCTTGTTTATTTTCCGTTACTTACCGGACATTCCTCTGCTGCATCAGCCCCCACGTTTTCGTCTCAAATGTTCACTTAGGGACGTCGTGCTTCCGTCGTGCCATGGTTTTTGCATATTTTGCAGGTCACCGGTCTTTTCAAGGCATCTAGTGAAGTGCTCCCATACTCGTGAGGTTTTTGTCCAGGGTTTCTCTTGTTTTGTCGCTTCTATTTTTCTTCCGTATTTCTTGTTGATCCGCCATCTCTCACAGCAAGATGAGCGTCAGTAACGTGATACGTCATGAAAACCGAGGGCACTTATTGGCTCATTTCTTCTTCTACGGCTCCACTGGTAGATCAGTGGCTCATTACTGCCACACACTGGCGGCAAATTTAACAGATTGTAACCGATGTCAGATTGTGGTAAAAAAATAGACTTTATGCGGTAAAATATGATTATTAAACAACTAATCGATGACTAAAAAAGTTGTTAACTATTTTAATAATCGATTAAATCGATTAGTTTTTTCAGCTCTAACACAAACAGTCATAAAGCATCTAGGATTGTGTATTTCTTCTAGGCTGTGGAATGCTCCCCACAGAGAGACAAAGATGGCTTGGCTTGATGACTCCTCAGTAAATGGCATTTTGCGGCATCATTTTGGACAGTTGGGTGTAAAGTGGTACAAATGCAGTAGATGCGTTTTAAACTTTTATAAGTGGTTTGATGCCAAGAATAATTTTCAGCACTGAAGTGGAGAAGGAACTCCAAGGCTCTCTTCAACCAGAGACTTTTAAAAGGCTTTATGTAAGAGTCCAAAGAACTTTAAAGCCCATTCTAACATGCTTTTGCCATGCTGTGACCTTCACCAGAGAAACAAAAGCAAAAAGCACATTCAGCAAACGTCTCCTAAATCACTGTAAACCCCTTGTTGTCCTCTCCATGGTATTGATTGTCACTGTGTGGGGATTCCAAGGACGACAGATTCAGTCCTCACTCCCTCCCTTTCTTTAATTTGACTTACAAGCAGATTTATGTCCATTTTCTTGTATGAGTCGTCATCTGTGAGGCTGCATGGTGAGCGTCATTTTGGATGACTTGAAAACCATAATCCCTGCTGAATACTGTAATTTACCACCATACAGTCTGACAGCCGGGCAAATTACAGGTGTACCGTGTCTGTATCTGTAACATCTCGGATGCTTGGCTGCACTTGGAGTACAGCGAACAAAGCAGCCAACCTCCTCCTCCTCTCGGGTGATGCCCTTTGGTATGTGGCAAGCCTCTGCCACTCTTTTATGAACTTTAGATTTTTTTTAATTTAAAAGCTGTGGCAAAGACTCGCCACTTTTTCTTATTCATACATAATTGAAGGGTGTTATAATGAAATCTTAATTTGACCTTTGAAAATAAGTGCAGTGAGGAATTCCTTGGGCTTTTATTTATTTATTTATTTATTTAGCTGCAGGGACGGGAAGAATATTCTCTAAAGATTAGATTTATTTTTCTGGACCACCTTGCCTCATGACCTGCATGCCAAGAATGACTTTGCAACACTGGATCAGTCTGGGTTTTCTGATCACCAACAATGTTTTAACTTGATAAAAGGTTTTGAACAGAGTAGACCGGGTATTTTCATGTGCAGGTGGATGGAACCTAAAAGCTGTAAACTGGAGGTCACCAATGTCAAGATCATAGATTAAGAGAAAATAATCATGTGAGGGGAAGGGAACCCTGAAGACCACAAGTCACAGTGAAGACTAAACTGTTCATTTTCACAAGATTGATGACACAAAGATTTTTATTTTATTTCTAAAACATTTCAGGAACTTATTGTTTGATTTTAGCAATAAGATGAAGGCAGGATAAAGAAGATGATTTATTTCCTGCTCTGATCTACCTTTTTCTGTTACTGCAGAAATTGATTAATAACATTTTTACTGTTTATGTGCTCCAAGTTGACACAGGTCTCTGGTTTTAGACTCCTTCACTCCTCTTTTGGATTTTTTTTCCTGTTTCTGGAGATCTACAGCTGTGCAAGAAGCTCTGATGTATAGTGACAACTCTCCGAGAACATATTCATCACCAGATAGAGGCAGCAAAGGCACCCACATGTGACCAGGTGCACTGCCTTTGACTCAGCCTCCTGTCAACAGCTTAATGAGCTTGAGTCATTCAAAATATAAAAGTAAAACTGATGACAGCCGATCATGTGACTTCTTAGATTAAGATGATTCTATAATTCAGGCAGAATATTGCCTTGTAGCTCAGCCATGGTGCCCAAACGTATTTTTCTGTCAACCTTCCCCCTTCTCCTAGCATCACCATATTTAGTTGCCCCAACAACAGGTTTGACTGGAAAGCCTTTCTCATTCAACTTAAAACACAGCAAAAGGCCTGTTTGGGCATGACTGTTTTCATGTGTCTTTCTTCAGGTTCACAGAAATTAGTGACATTGTATCTGTGTTTTTCCTTATGCTTGTGTTGTTAATCAGAGAAAATTCAGTGTCCTTAAAAGTTATCCCCTTTGCAGTAAAATTATAACTCAGTCGATAACATTCTTACCTTACATGTGCACAAGCTACATTTGTTCAAGGTGAAATGTTATTAGTCACTGTTAAAGATAGAAATCAGTGTTTATGTGCTCAAACTGGAGCCTCTACAGTATTTTTCAAGGATGAAATGGCAGCACAGCTTTCAAAGGGCTGTTGTTTGCAGACGGTTGGATCTGACTCTCATCCACATACTTGCGTTTAGGAGGTTGGCGCGCTTGTGTTTTTTGGAGCGGGGGCTTTTGCAGCTGTCGAACAGACGTTTGTTGAGCACAGGTTTACTGGAGAGCCCGAGGAGAGGGCAGCCAGGCTTAGGTTTCTGTTTTCTTTATGGATCCAGTGACTAAAGATGGTGTCTTGCTAAAGAACATTTCAAATCTGAGAAGCGGCCACTCTGAAAGCCTGCCTGATGAGCTCAGACCTCTAGTTCCTCTGCGCGCTGTCTATTTGTCATCTGAAAAATGAATGTGGAAAGCAAACAGTCCGTCTTTGTGTGTGAGGCTGTCTCTCTAGTGGCTGATTTCCAGTACTGTAACGAGCAGCAGCTGGCTCAGAGGCCTGCACTCTGAAGCTGCATCCCTCACCCTGATCAACGTGTCATTTGTTGCTTGTTAAGCAGTCGCTTTTATTCAGAGAATTCTCCTCTCGGACGCACAGATAAATAACACAAAACACAAGCCATACTCTATAGTCCATTGAGCCTATTTGTAAGAAGGCATCTGAATAGGTGTGGCCGATGTGAGTTTTTGTGTTTTAGTTCACCGTACATGTGAACCATCAAGTTCAGCTTGAGCCTAGTTTATACTTTTTGTGTGTGTCAGCATTGCAACACAATTCTCCACAAGGACATCAGTGGGTGTAGACCTTTTGCCTCCCCTTGCAGTAGCTCTGGTCAACAACAGTCCATTTACTTAAGCTTGTAAACGGTTCTGGGTTGCCCGCTGGATACAGTTGAGACGTGTGAAAGGAGGATGCTGGGGATGATGACCTCCATCTTAAAAAAAAACCTTCCACACTCTGCATTCCACTGTGGAGACTAGGGATGTAAGAAAATATTGATATGGCAATCTATCGTGATATTTTTTCTTGCAATATTATATTGATATTCAAAAGCTGTGTAACAAATTTACAGAAAAATTGACATTCAAATATTGGTGTATTTTCTTTTCTTTTTGTGCAATTCAAAGGCCAACCTCTAGTTGGCAGAAGTGTGCTATGGGTTTTGCTTCCACCATTGAAATGAAAATACCTGTATTATAGTTCTGATACCTCAGGTTAGACTGTTTATTGAATTTTCCTATAATAAATTCCGTCTGTGCTCCACCACACCAAGAGGAGCCAGTTGAGGTGGCTTGTACATCTGATCAGGATGCCTCCCTGGTGAGGTTTTCCAGGCACGTCCAACCGGGAGGAGACCTAAAGAGAGACTCAGGACACGTTGAAGGGACTATGTCTCTCACCTTGCAAGGGAACGCCTTGGGGGGTTCACAGACTTTACCATATAACATCAGGTGATCAGTAAACAGTGTAAGGTAACTTGTTTGCTCCACAGAAACACAACTCAGCTGAAAAACAGTGGTGTTGCTGGACATTTTGCTCAGTTTTGTGGCTTTTGGTCAGAGTCTGAACCAGGAAATGGCTGCAGGCAGTGAAACACAAGGCAAAAAACTCCGGAGCAACCAGTGACTCGGACCCCTTGCCAATCAGCAGCCTGAATCACGATGCTGGTTTGACTCAGCCTTGCCAGGTACCTCAACAGAGCAGGGACTAAAAATAGGGGAGAAAGTAGAGGGAAAATACCGAACTTGGCCCTTGGAAACAGTGGTCGGGCCGAGCTGCATTGGTCTGAGTTGCTCTGGAGTACTTTTCCTGGAAAAAAGGCTAGTAACATCAGTGCAATACTCAGTATGTGTTCAATGTTTGTATACTATTGGATTTACACAGTATGTCTGTGTCCCTTACAGAGTGCTGCATGGTGATGAAACCAAAGTTTTTCATTGTTTTGTATTTGTGGTTTTTAGTGGTCAAAGGCTACAATACTAGCGTACTGCCTATATGTATGTACATGTACCTTTTTTATTATTTTTCTTCAAACTATTCTTTTAAGTGTTGGTGCTGCTGTAACAAGTGAATTTCCCCACTGTGGGATAAATAAAGATTATTCTATTCTATTCTATTCTATTCTTAATCAACTCAAGGAGCAATGACCAACAGAATGATTTTTAATGTAGCTGGAACCGCTTAATGAAGAAACTAAAACGTTTGTTAACAGAGTTCAATGGGAGCTAGGGCGCTGTTGACATATTTACAGGAAGTAGCATCAAGCCATAAAGAATGTGCTGTTTGGTCGACCAATCACAGACGTGTTTGATGGATACAAAATTGGACTCTACCCCGTCGATCCTTGTGTGCTTGTTAAAGAGCCATTGCGTCGATAGAAAATGGTGATGTGTCTCGACACATCCATAAACAGACAAGTATAAACCAGGTTTTAATGACTTTATTGATTGATCAAATGACTTCTTGTTTCATGTTTTCATTTACTATCAAAACAAATCTGAAGCATTGAATACAAAAAGTAAAGCAACTCTGAGGATTTTTTGTTACTTACGTAGAACAATGGAGGGAATTATCTCTCTAAAGTAATCATCAACTCTAATTCTCAATAAATAAATAAATAAATAACACAAAAATCTATGATGCTCCTATTAAGAAACAGCCTTTATTTCTGTGGAGCTCTTGGTAAATACTCCAGTGTTCTTCACATCATACACATATACACACATTATATTAACAAAACTACAATGACCCTCCAAATGAACCAGTTCATACATCCGTTTGTTCATTTAATTTGATGGCCTTAAGAATAAACTGCTAAATAGCTGTTGACTTCATCATGCTTTAGTTAGCTTATTGGTCACACCATTGTTTAACCAACATTTTGCTTTCTGCTCCTCTTTTCATTTCACCTCTCTCTTTCTCTGCTCACATATCTGACATCTTAATGCGCCAGAAGCCACAATAAACTTTCTGAAGGAACTGACAAGGTAGGAAGCCCAGACCCCCTGAAGTCGTGTACCCTGTGGTTTTGCTTTGATGGCGTCTTCACTGTTCTGAGCAAACAGAATGTCCAAAAAAGGGTCTTGTCTATATAAAGCCAGAGGATCTGTCATCAGTGAATGTTATACCCATGCAAGAAGGGTCACAACAACAATCCGACGGTTGTCTGTCAGCAAAAACTAGAGTTCCAAATGAGTGTCTGCCTTTCTGTGTTAGCTTCAGCTCTTTTTATTGTACATTGGTCTGAAAAATGGATGAAAACAGCCAAAAAGAGAAGGATTCTAGCATGTTTTTGCTTTAAAAAGGAAACAAAAGGCTACAGGAGGAGACAGGTTAGAGGAAAGAGTGAGAAACCTTCTGATGATAACATCATAGGTTGAAACGTGATCTTGTGTGACTGAAGTCTGAGTCAAAGAGTACACAGTGAACAGGAATGCACTTTAGGATTATGTATGGCTTATGAGGCTGCGCAGTAGTTCAGTGGTTAGAGCTGTTGTCTTGCAGCTAGAAGGTCCTGGGTTCGCTTCCTGGCCTGGGAATTTTCTGCATGGAGTTTGCATGTTCTCCCTGTGCATGTGTGGGTTCTGTCCGGGTACTCCGGCTTCCTCCCCAAGTCCAAAAACATGACTGTTAGGTTAATTGGTCTGTCTAAATTGTCCCTAGGTGTGAGTGCGTGTGTGCATGATTATTTGTCCCGCGTGTCTCTGTGTTGCCCTGCGATGGACTGGCACTCTGTCCAGGGTGTACCCCGCCTGATTGCCCATTGACTGCTGGAGATAGGCACCAGCCCCCCCGCGACCCTACATGGACAAGTGGGTTCAGACAATGGATGGATGATGGATGGGTGTGGCTTATGATTGCTTATCTGTCTTTTTAAATCAACCAAACCAAAGCATAAGATTCACAAATATCCATCTTAGTCCTTAAAAATATAAGACCGTGTAAAAGGGCATAGCAATCAAACATTCACAGAAGTACTTTAAATGCGTTTACCTACATATAACCACTTGTTGTAGTTTATGAAGCCTGCAGAGTCCAATGTGAACTGAAGCAGGAATAAGCACAGGAGGCCACTGAGCTGCAGAGAAGAGGGTTGAAGGTAGTTTGGAAACTCACTGATGGACTCGATGTAGGTCGAGTTCATTGGGTTGATGTCTTTAACATGTATGTGGTTTTATGTTGGCCAGAAGTACATCATAGTTGTACTATTGACAACCTTTTGCACAGTTGTTTTTTGTACTACTAAATAGATAAAAATGTTTGTCTTGATGAAACTGGAAGATAAGTGTTTAGTTTAATATTGTGTTGTTGTTTTAATTGTTATTGGAAATCTAGAGGTTAAAATGTGTTTGAGAAAAGAAATGTAACTACAAAAATGAATTCAAACTTTTTTAACTAGATGTGGTAGAAACATGTTCAGAGTGAGTCTTTAGCTCCAGTTTCTAGTTGTTGTTCTTTTTTTCCCCCTCATAAACAAGTGAATAAAAATGTATTGATTCATTGTCTTGTAGTGTGTAACAACTTGCTCAAATATCCCAGTCTTCTTGCCACTGTAACCCTGAGATTCATGGGAACTTTAAACAGAAGAATGTAAAAAATGCTGTATTTGCTTTCCTGCTGCAGGGAGAGCAGATTATAAACAAATAGTTTTAACTTAATGGATGTTTAATTGTATCCCCGTTAGCTGAGGCCATTGTGGAGCCATTTTCCTCTATTTTAGAAAGGAATCCCATTAAAATGGCAGGTCAACTTATCACAGCATACATTTAAGTATTTAGCCATATAAAGCTGCTGAGATACTAAACAATGTAACCCAGTTTGTTTGAAAAATATGTGGGAGAAATCTCGTGGGATCCCTACTAATAACCTGTTGACTGATGATTCTTACATAAAAATAATCCATTTAATTCCTTTTAAAAAACAGTCTATTCTTTAATCTTTTGAGTCATAAACTTTATGAAATATGAAGCTAATGGATTTAACATAGTCAAATCAAATCTCCAATCCCTTGAAATAAGAGTTTTTTTTTTGTTTAATTATCTCACTTGACATCAAAATTCACAATTGCATATTTGATTTATTTGATTTGTGAATGTTGTATGCATTTGTTTTGTTTTTCACAGCTGTAAATGTCACTTGAGAACAAAGAAAAAAGGGAATATTGTGAGGTGATGTTGGAGGGTGTTGTGGGGTGTTTATCTTGAACAAACCCAGAAGCTGGTGATAAAGAAACCTCTGTCCTCCTACAGTTTACCAGTATCTGTTTACCAAACTGCCAGTGTGTGTTTGGGAACTGTTGTTTAACTCAAAATTATCAGACCTGCAGGTGTGTGGTTACAGGCGGCTCAGGCAAATCTGCTCCTAAAAATGCAGTCAAACAGTAGAGTCTCAACTTTAATGACCTTCAGATTTGTTTTCAACTCAAAGCCTTCAGATTTCCAAGGTTTGGTTGGGTTTAGCAAGGTCAGTGACACTGCAAAGATTAAAATGCTCATTTTTATTTGCAGCTTCATGCAAAACTTAAATTAATTTCCCCAAGAAAATATATTTTCTTTATTTATTATTGTTATTATTTGTCAGAAGAAAATCAATGTCAACAATTCAGAGACCCCCTAATGATATCCTCTTTCCTGTCCCAGTGACCCTGACAACCATGAGAACTGTAAATAAAAGGAATGTTTCCTATTGCTTTCATGCTGCAGGCTGAACAGACTATGAACATGTTGCTTTTACGTGAAGTGCCCATTAGCCGAGACCATTATGGACCAGTTTTCCCATGTCCTGGAGAGGAATTCCACTAAAGTTGTTTATAAAGCCCATTTGGCAAAGTTTTTTTTTTTACAGTTGGTTCCTAAAGATCTTTGTTGTTATAAGGTTTCAGAGGCATGTTTTGTACAATTTTGTTCCCCTGGACCTTATGAGGAAAGCTGCTAACAAACATTTGCTGAGTGTTTCTGCTTCCAGGACACAAGAGGATATGCTCTCAATTACTATGAAAGGGTTTTGTCTTTAACAACATGGTTCATTGTTGAACATTTTATGCCTTGAAAAATAAAAGTTTTCCTTTAATTTACCAGAGGTATGTATTCAGTGTAAAACTAAGTTCTGATTAGGGCTAAATGGGATAAACATACTCATTATTAATTGGGTTTTTCAAGTAGTTGTCATTGTTAAAGTTATACTGGCCAAAATATTTATTTAGTTTGCCTGTTTGTGATCTTTTTTTTTTGTTTTGTTTGTTTTTCAGGATTCCGTAAAATCAGCCTTGATGATCTGCGCAAGGCCTACATTGTCAAAGATGTTCAACAGTACATCCTTCACCGGCTGGATCAGGAGGAGGCCTTGAGGCAGCATCTCACCAAGGAGACCGCTGAGATGCTAAATCAGCTTCACATTAAAAGCAGTGGATGTTTCCTCTACTTGGAGCGAGTTCTGGATGGTGTGGTGGAGAACTTCATCATGCTTCGTGAGATCCGTGACATCCCAGGCACTCTTAATGGCCTCTATCTTTGGCTCTGTCAGAGACTGTTTGTCCGAAAACAGTTTGCCAAAGTTCAACCCATTCTTAATGTAATCCTGGCAACGTGCAGACCACTCACAATCAAGGAATTGTACCATGCAGTCTGGACCAAAAACATGACTCTGACTATGGAGGAGTTTCAGAAAAAGATGGACATTCTGTCCAAGTTGTTGGTGGATGGACTTGGGAGTACTAAAATCCTTTTTCACTACAGTTTTGCAGAGTGGTTGCTGGATGTTAAACATTGCACTCAGAAGTACTTATGCAATGCAGCAGAGGGACACCGAATGTTGGCAATGAGTTACACCTGCAGAGCAAAGCAGCTGAAACCTCTAGAAGTGCAGGAATTTGCACTGCATCTAGTTAATTCCAGTCTGCATATTGAGCCATCTAATCTTGCTCTGTGGATGGTTTGGAATGGAACTCCCACCAAAGACTCTCTGAGCACTTCCATACCAAAAGAACAGGAGGTTCTGCAGCTCCTGGTCAAAGCTGGTGCTCATGTTAACAATGAGGATGATCATGCTTCGTGTATTGTACAACAGGCCCTGGAAAGAGAAGACTCGATACGAACGTTGCTTGACAATGGCGCCTCAGTGAATCAGTTTGACTCTAGTGGGAGAACTCTGCTGGCCAATGCTGCATACAGTGGAAACCTTGATGTAGTTAATCTGCTTATATCCAGAGGTGCAAACATGGAGCTGGAAGACAACCATGGACAAACAGCACTTACTCTTGCTGCAAGGCAGGGCCACACTAAGGTTGTCAACTGCGTTATCGGATGTGAGGCCAACATAAACCATACAGATCACGATGGGTGGACCGCTCTTCGCTCAGCAGCTTGGGGTGGACATTCAGAGGTTGTGTCTGCTTTGCTTTATGCTGGGGCTAAAGTGGACTGTGCTGATGCTGATGGTAGAACAGCTTTGAGAGCTGCTGCTTGGGGAGGCCATGAAGACATAGTGTTAAACCTTTTGCAGCATGGGGCTGAAGTCAACAAAGCAGACAATGAAGGAAGAACTGCTCTTATCGCTGCAGCATACATGGGGCACAGAGAAATTGTTGAGCACCTTCTGGACCATGGAGCTGAGGTCAATCATGAAGATGTTGATGGGAGGACTGCTCTTTCAGTGGCTGCTCTCTGTATTCCTGCGAGTAAAGGTCATGCATCAGTTGTGAGCCTTCTCATTGACAGGGGAGCAGAGGTGGACCACTGTGACAAAGACTGCATGACGCCTCTCCTTGTGGCTGGCTATGAAGGACACGTAGATGTGGTTGATCTGCTTTTAGAAGGTGGAGCTGATGTTGACCACACGGACAACAATGGGCGTACCCCTCTTCTAGCAGCTGCATCAATGGGCCATGCATCTGTTGTAAACACATTGCTTTTCTGGGGAGCTGCAGTTGATAGCATCGACAGTGAGGGAAGGACTGTATTGAGCATTGCATCTGCTCAAGGAAATGTAGAGGTGGTCAGAACTCTGTTGGACAGAGGTCTGGATGAGAATCACAGAGATGATGCAGGCTGGACTCCACTACACATGGCATCATTTGAGGGCCATCGCCAAGTTTGTGATGCACTCATTGAACAAGGTGCTCGTTGCTCAGAGGTTGATAACGATGGCAGAATACCTCTGATATTAGCCGCACAAGAGGGGCATTATGATTGTGTGCAAATTCTTCTGGAAAACAAGTCTTGCATTGACCAGAAGGGATATGATGGTCGCAATGCTCTCAGGGTTGCTGCACTAGAGGGTCACAGGGACATTGTTGAATTGCTTCTGAGCCACGGCGGTGATATAGATTACAAAGATGCAGATGGACGCCCAACACTTTACATACTGGCACTTGAAAACCAACTGGCCATGACAGAGTATTTCCTTGAAAATGGTGCAAATGTGGAAGCTTGTGACATTGAGGGCAGAACAGCCCTCCATGTGTCCTGCTGGCAAGGGCATGTTGAAATGGTGAGACTGCTTATCAACCATCATGCTGATGTGAATGCCTGTGACAATGAGAAGAGATCTGCTCTCCAGTCAGCAGCATGGCAAGGCCATACTAAAGCCGTACAGTTTTTGATTGAGAATGGGTCACACGTAGATCATACATGCAACCAGGGAGCAACAGCACTGGGCATAGCAGCTCAGGAGGGTCACATTGATGTTGTGCAAATACTTCTGGAAAATGGGGCTGACCCCAACCACGCTGATCAGTTTGGACGTACAGCAATGAGGGTGGCGGCTAAAGGAGGCCATTCAATGATTCTCAAACTCCTGGAAAAATATGGAGCAACAACTCTAAATGGCTGCAACCCTTCTCCAGTGCATACCATGGATGACAAAACACCTTTGGCAGTCACAGGCAAAATGCAGTCCCTCACCATCAAATCAAGTAGTTCTGGCAGCACTGGAGCTGGAGATGTGCAATCATCTGGGTGTCTTCCCAATGGGCCCGTCCATGCTTTCAGTTCACCATCTGAGTCCCCCGATTCCACTGTGGATAGACAGAAATCCTCTCAGTCAAATAATTCCCTCAAGAGTTCGAAGAACTCCTCCTTAAGAACCACGTCGTCTACTGCTACAGCGCAGACTGTGCCAATTGATAGTTTTCACGGGATGACATTTACAGAACAAATTCAACAGCACTCACTGCCTCGCAGCAGAAGCAGACAGTCTATTGTGTCCCCTTCGTCAACAACAAAATCTGTTAGTCAGCAGCCATCATCTCCATCCAGTGACTTTGACTGGTCTCAGCTGAAATCTGGCCTGAAATCAGCAAAAGGAACTAAAGCAGGAAATGGAACATCAAATAGCAAAGGTACTCCAGGGGACAAGAAGAAAGTGAACAACAGTGTATCACCTCAAGGTCAAGTTCTGGAGTATGAGATGACTCAGTTTGACAAGAGAATGTCCTTCGACAAGTCGGTGGCTAACATTGCTGTGAAAGATCCTCACTGTAAGATCATGATCGGTGGTTCAGTTCATCAGGAACGAGGGCAGTGCCAGGACCAACTTTTTATCCAACAGCAGAGCTGCTCAGAGAAGAAAAGAAATGGTATCATGACCAACCCCAACTATCATCTACAGGGTAACCAGGTTTTCTTGGGTAGGGTATCAGTTCCTCGAACTGTGCAAAACAGGGGCCACCAGGACGTTCTAGAGAACTACCCCATTGGGGAAACAGAGCTAAGCCTTAAACAAGCCCTGAAACTGCAAATTGAAGGATCAGACACAGGTTTTAACTACAAAAAAGAGACCCCATTATAGCTGGTAAGAGACTCTCTGGTCTTGTTTGTGTGAAGTAAAAGTAGAAATTTGACATTAGGAACATAGTGACAGCACACATTTCTGTTAATTTACTGTTGCTAGTACAGAGACTAAAACCACCTAGAACTTATTCAATTCACCCCATTTTAAATTGGCAGTCCTTTTGCTCATGAACAAAATAATAACCCAAATCATTCTTTTGTGGTTTCAGATGTCCTCAATGCCACCCGTCATGCAGACGTTGGAGAGAATGTGCCAAAGCAACTGTTGTCATCTGCATAACAGTTCAAGATTTATTTTATTTTCTGTGGGAGACCATAAAACAATAGCTAGAGAAGATTGTTGATTGCTGCCTGAAGCATATGTGAACTGATACTTTGTGCCTACATCTGTTACAGCCTTTTTCACATTTTCATGCAAAGTATCATTTTTAATTTAATGCGATGCTATTTAATAAACAGTGTATGCACTTTTAAGAGAAGAAACCGACAGACATGCATCTTTCATCATCTGTTTTAATTGTACCAATGTGTCTATTATTATTTGACTTTTTTTCACACTGACAGCAATGTACCGGTGGATGCATTGTCACAAACCAGACAAACAGTAACTGATGTCAAAGTGAAATTTTAAACTAGTAGTTTGCCTTTCTAGAGACCCCAAATCTGTGTTTAACTTCAATCAGTGTGCTAAACCTGCATTGTGTTTATATGTTAGTAGCTTTGGCAGTTTATTTCACAAATATAAAAAGCATATTCATTTTTTGGGGGAAAAAAGCCACTTTTGTTGCCTTTTTGTGTTGCATTACATTCTGTCATGGTGCTGTGTTCAGATGCCTGCAGGTGTTTCATTTCTGTTGCTTTCTGCATTTGTTTGTTACAAATATTACGAAAGAGGGAAGTTAATTGATCATGTAAAACAATGGTTCATTTTGTCCCTATGGGACTTTTACATTTTTGTGTTGTGTGTGATGTTTTTGTGTGTAGACGTTCAGAAATATTTAAGTAACCATTGTGTACCATCTCAGACGTTTGGTGCTAAATGCAGCTTTTTACATTTTCTTTGCAGAATTGTGTGTGTAATGTACTGCAGAGCAGCAAACAAACCCCATTTCTGTTTGTTAATAGTCACATGATTCATTCTATGTTCCTTCTGCTGGATTTTTCAGGGGCATGACATTAAAAGGGTTTAGCCATGAAGACAACTCCTAGTTGTTAGTGATATTTTTTTAATGCAGAGTGAAGCCAAAGTTGAAACAGCATCCTGTTTGCTGCCCCCTCCCTCCAAGCAACAGAGTATCAGCTAAACAGGACTTTACATCCTGAGGGACGTTGCGGGGAGGAGTTCTGCTGTGACACTGGGGGAACTCGAACATCTGTTTCTCATGAACTGAGTGGAGCTGCGTTAGCATTTACAGACTGTCATTTTTTTCAGGCTTATCATGTTAACAGTGATGTATTCTTGCCAAGAACTAGGATTCGGGGGAACCTATCGCATGCACAAACATTAATAAAGCCTAGTGGAAACTCTCAGCTCTTCAGTACCACAGTAGATCAGATGTTTGCCAAGAAGGTTTGACAGAAAGATGTAGGGCAGGACTGAAAGAAGTGGGGAACATTCTGTGTAGTCCTGTTATCTCGTTCGTCTCAATGCCATCTTGTCTGAATTTTGATTTGACCGTCAGTGATTGGATTGTAAATGGCTTACTGTGTACATTCAACTTTCATTTTAAAGTAATTTCTGTATTATATGAAGCGGACTTTTCTGATGTATAATAAAAGTGCTTAATAAACATATTTGCTCTACGGCCGAAAAAATTCTCTAATTATTCTCTTAGATGCAGTTTGCTAAAAATAAATAGTTTTTAAATGTTTCATTTTTAGAAAGGAAGTCATTTAATCTTATCAGTCTCTGCAAAATATTAATGCAAATTCTAATGCTCGACATTTTGTTTTGATGTGTAATTTTGACCAGTAGCCAAAACATTTATTCAAATGTGATCAATCACATTTGGGGTTTATGAAAGCAATGGAACACATTTGCTGTTGGTACTTTAGATCTTAAATCCTGTGCTTGTTTTGAAAAGGCTACAAAGAGCAGCCATTTTCAGAAAGTTATTTGTCCTTGGCTCGTAAGAAAAAATAAAACTTGAAAACATTGCAACTTTTTGACAAGCAGCCACAGTCAGATAAAAGTCTAAAAATCTTGGAGGAACTAATTAATGCCTGACCTCTGCAGCTATGCTGATTTTTAACACAAAGACTTTTGTTATCACCAAGACTAGAATATCACTCGGCAAATGTCTGTTTCTTGCTTTTAATCTAAAGACTTTCCTTTAGTCTGAAGCTTTTTTTTTTCCTTCTCGTGTCAGGCCTGTGAAACCACAGCATGTGCTGTTAATACTTTACTTCACCATTGGTCATTTGATACAGAAAGGCCAAACCAGGACACTGCAGACATCCAAACACATGGATCAAACTAAAATGGAACAACAGGCAAATGTGCCAAGTTGTGTTCCTGCCCCCCACTTATCCTGGAGTTCATTCAGTTCATCCCGAACAGACTGCAGAAGGAATCAAAAGAAAATGATTTGTTTAGGAAATGCATGATCTAAATAAGATTTTCTGCTGTATTTTAAACACATTAGCCCTGTGAGCAGGGTTTCACATTTTGGATAGAAAAATTGGACAGTTCCAGTTCATTTGGCAGAATTTTCAACATTTCATTAAGCCCCACAGAGAATTCAGTAGCTTTTGTGTCCTCAGCGGAGACTGTTGTTCTACAAGTTTGTAGGGTGGATGCTAATGAGAGAACCATCTGGTGCTGATGTCATGTAGTTCCCACTGTACGAGCTTGGAGGATCTCCTCAACTAACTGCCAGTGTCCACATCTGGTTCTTCTCCGGCCATGGTCTTGTTTTGGATACAACATTAACAACCTCCCACGCAAAATGCATAACATGGCTACAGCTGGGCAAACTTGTTCCAGAGATTCCTTCAAACCTGACTGCTTTAAACCATCAATGCCAGTTATGTGAGTAAAAAGAAAAATGACTTTTTTTTGTTAATTGTTCTCTCATCACTTTTGCTGTGTTAGTTTTGCTGGAAACTGCAAATTTTGCCTCATGGTACAATAATAAAAGCTGTAGCTGATTCTCATGTCTCTGGGGAAAACCTTTTCTCACGGTCTTCAGATCCTGGGGCCTCATTTATCAAGCTTGCTTACACACAAAACGGGGCCAGAAAACTGCGTAAGCAACTTTACACGTAAAATTTGGGATTTATCAAAGAAAACTTAGCAGAAAAATGTGCGCAACTTTAAGTTGACTTAGGACCTGGCTTACGCACATTTTGGACACGGAGAGCACCTGCAGGGCTGCTGCTGAGAAGGATACAATTACGAAATCCTGCAGCATTATCACTTGTACTGCTTCGTTTTCACACAGAACAAGAACCCCCACACACACACACACACACACACGCACACACTTACTGAGAAAGACAGTCTGGGGTTTCAACTCTTAAAAACCTGGTGCAGCTTTGAAATTAATCTTGAAACTGTTTCACAACAATTTGATCAAATGTTCTTACAAGAATGGTGGATTTGTAAACTAGCTTGCATTAATGAAGCTCTCACTACAGTTTAAAGCTAGGCTATCCACACTTTTCTTTTTGAACTGGGAAAGCTTCTTGAACCCTCTCCTGGGTTTGCTTGACATCATCAATTGATCCCAACATCCTTGGTATTCATTTCTTTCCTTCACCCTGTTTTCTGATTCTTAGACGTTGCTTCATTTGTAACAAAGGGAGAATTTTCAAGTGTAACAATTAATTTATTTTGACACTGAAACTAAGACTTTAGTGTAACATTTACCAGCAGGAATTCTCTTACTGAAACTTTAAACTCTGTTTTGCGCCGAGGGACTCAGTCTGGATTTGCTTCAAAATGTTTCTGAAATTGTGAGAGAGGAAAGTCACGAGGTTGACTCCATAGGTTGCCAACATTGTGAAAGATGTCTTAAAGAAACACCCAAAACTAAGGAGCAGAAAGGAAAGCAGACCTAGGACATGGGGTCATCTCAGGACGGAAACAATTATTAGTCAATGTTGCAATAAGATAGATGATGATCTTTGGCGTAAATTACAACAGGCTCCTAAATCATGTTTGCTTGACTCTTCAATCTGCATTGAAGATCAAATGAAACATCTTTTTATGCTGGTTTCTAAAATTGGGTCCTATTCCTAATTTTCAGGTTGTTTCTTATTTTTTGTGATGAATGTGATGAAATTACTTTTGACTTTTCCAACCATTTGTAAAGATTTAAAGCTCTCATGTTGAACAATGGGAGTATACTTTCTGCAGTGAAAAGAAAACATGAAGCTGTTGAAACAAGCTGTTAGGTCAAGGTCAAGGTAACTTTATTAATACCCACAGGTAAATTTGATTTGCCATGTGACACGGGAATTAGCGCCCAGTTACACACACAGTCACAAAAATACACACATCAATAAAAATATAAAAACAATACATGAATAAATAAAAATAAAGTAAAGTAAAATAGCCACGCCAGACTCGTTTCTCATTGAGAATTGTTACTGCCTCAGGAATAAAGCTCCTTTTATACCTCTTGGTCCTGCACTTAGGCACAATAAATCTCCGTCCTGATGGCAGGAGGGCAAACTGGGCCTACAGTGGGTGGCCCGTGTCCCTAACAATAGCTTTGGCAATTCTCTACCTGCCCACTGTACAGTTGTGCCACACTTTTCACTTGTTTTCCAAGCAGATGACCCAACCACTTTACTATCCTGTTCAGCATTTCCTTTTGTTTAAGATTTGCCTGGCCAAACCATGAGGCTAAGGAAAATGATAAAACACTTTCAATAAAAGAACAATAAAACATGGACATTATAGTCCTGTCCACATGGAATGAGGCCAGTTTTCTAAGGCAGTACAAACGCTGCTGGCCTTTCTTACCCACAGCATCACAGTTTTCCTCAAAATTCAGCTCCCTATCAATAATTGTCCCCAGATATTTATATGATTTCACCTGGTCGGCAAATGTCTGTTTCTTGCTTTGATTATGGAAAGATCATGCTGTTGTTGAGGCTTCCTTCTAAAATCGATGATCATATCTTTTGTTTTAATTACATGAAGTTGTAGATATGATTCATCACACCAAGAGATAAAATCATCAAGAACAGGTCCATGGCTGTATTCCCCTTCTCTCAGGAGACTTACAACTACAGAATCATCAGCATATTTAATAATTGTCCTTCTCTCATGTTTGCTTTGGCACATGTTAGTGTATAAAATATACAACAAGGGGGACAAAACACAGCCCTGAGGAGATCCGGTAGACACAGTTTTCATATCCGACAGGGTACCATTCACCCTGACCTTTTGTGTTCTGTTGATCATAAAATCTAGTATCCACCCAAGCATGCTTTTACTCAGCTGAAACTGTTCCTCTAGCCTTTTAACCAAAACATGAGGCTGGATTGTATTGAAAGCGGACGAAAAGTCCACAAAGAGTAGTTGAGCATGAGTTCCTACTAGGTCCAAATGATGAAAAAGCATATCCAACAGAGTGACTGTTGCATCCTCCACCCCTCTCCCAGCCCGATATGCAAACTGTAGAGGATCCAGTAGTCGCTGTGTCTGCTTTAAAAGCTCGCATCTAACCAGCTTTTCAAAGATTTTGATTAAAATTGAAGTTAGAGCAACAGGGCGGAAATCGTTTAAAATACCTGGATGTCTCACCTTAGGAATCGGTACAATTTCTGCATCCTTCCATAGTTTAGGGACCTTTTGTAACCGTAAAGATTCATTGAAAATGTGGTGCAGTATAGGTGTCAGCTGGTATGCACAGAATTTAAGTAAGCGGCCACAAATGTCATCTGGTCCTCGGCTCTTGTTTATTCTAACTGTCCTGATAGCCCTACCTATGTCCTCCATGTCAACTTTAAAATGCTCACTATCCTTACATTTCTCCCTCAGGATTTCCCGTTCCCCGCTGAAATCCAGAACGTCAAACCGACAATAAAAACTGTTCAGGGCATTAGCTGACAGGGAGTCAGTGTTAAAAGGGTCTAGACAGATGGTTGTGCACTGTGCCTCAGAGACACGTCCTGCAATAATTTTCATGCTAGTCCATGCCGAACCAAGTTTATTTGCTGCCATTTTGTCCTCCAACTGTCTCCTATATTCATGTTTAGCCTTTGTAATTTCTCTTTTTAACAGTATGTTAGCCCTCTGTAATTCAGCCACTGACCCCTGTTTAAAAGCCTAATTTTTCTCCTTTATACACAATCTTACTGCTTTTGTGACCCATGGTTTGTTGTTTGGATATATCCTGACACATCCATGGGGTATTATCATATCCCGACAAAAGGCCATATATGAGCAGGTTACATCAACCAACATGTCAAAATCATTTCCACATACTGAACAAAGACGTCCCACTCTGTACAGTCAAAACATTCCTGTAGGTTAAACACCGCCTCCTCAGACCAGGTGCTCACGTCCCTGGTCCTTACTTTCTCTCTTTTAAACATAGTCTTGTAGTTTGGCAAGAGGTGCACACAGTTATGATCTGAAGATCCCAGAGGTGGAAGAGAGAAGGATTTATAAGCATTCTCTATAGACCCGTAGCACATGTCCAGAGTTCTGTCCTTCCTAGTAGAAAAGGTCACGTACTGGTACAAGTTTTTAAGCGTCTTACCTAAATTCACATGATTAAAATCCCCCAGAATGAAATTAGGCACATCTGGGGATATTGACTGCAGTCTCTGCACAGTGTCAAAGATAGTGCTGGAGG